GACAGACGGACAGACAGACAGACAGACAGACAGACAGAGACAGAGACAGAGAACGAGACAGAGAACGAGACAGAGAACGAGAGATAGAGAGAGAGAGAGAGAGAGAGAGAGAGAGAGAGAGAGAGAGAGAGAGAGAGAGAGAGAGAGACAGACAGACAGACAGACAGACAGACAGACAGACAGACAGACACACAGACAGACAGAGACAGAAACAGAGACAGAGACAGAGACAGAGAACGCGAGAGAGAGAGAGAGAAGAGAGAGAGAGAGAGAGAGAGAGAGAGAGAGAGAGAGAGAGAGAGAGAGAGAGAGAGAGAGAGAGAAGGACAGGTGTACAGTGTGGTGGTGGAGAGAGGCAGCCACAGATAGAACTTACGGAGACCACGCGCACTGGCATCCTGGTTCCACAGCCACGTTCCTGTCAAGGCAAACAGAAAACGGCGTTTAATTAGAACACGTATATTCTCGACTCAACAAAACAGGACTCGAGTCTTTAGCCCTCCCAGCTACAGCCCTTTTTGTGCACTCCCTAACCCCAGTCCTTGCCAATACAGAGGTATTACCGAAAAAGAGGCATGCATTCTAAAAAGCGATCGAGTATCTTTGTAATTAGGTTTAGATAATAACATAATATAACAATGTTTACAGGTAAATGAACAAATATTATGAACATTAAAGTTTAATTAGGTTCGCTAATTTCGAAAAATTTCGCTAATTCGGTACCCTCCAAAACTGAAACATACGCTCTTGAGATGGTGTGAGGTACAAGCGATGCTGAAAATATATGCACATGCGGCTGAAAGGGTTCAAATATGACTTAATACATTTACCAAGTGACGGAACTTTAATTTTAATGTGGGTATTTTACACCCCCCCCCCCCTTTTATTTTAAATCAACATAATTTAGATCATTCATGAGCTGAGCTTTCGACCTTGCCTGTAAGTGTCAATCCTAGATGAGGGAAAACAGCATCCCAAAAGAAATTCCTAGAAACTCAATGAAAATTTTCGCACCTCGAAAATTGAACTCGCGGGTTTCTGCGTACGATAGTGAGGCGCCTACCTGGTGCATCACAGACTCAAATACCGAGGACAAGACAGTAAAAAACAAGGCACATTGCACACTGTATCTTTCTACTTTCTGCCCCCCCCCCTTTCTCTCTCTCTCTCTCCCTCCCTCTCCTCTCTCTCTCCCTCTCTCTCTCTCTCTCTCTCTCTCTCTCTCTCTCTCTCTCTCTCTCTCTCTCTCTCTCTCTCTCTCTCTCTCTCTCTCTCTCTGTGTGCCTCTGTCTCTCTCTTCCCTCTCGTCTTCCTCTTTTTTTCGACCCTGATGCATCAAAAATTATTGTAATCGCCTATATTTTACACTCTGGTCGATACAACTTAAGTCATACAGCACCTGTCAGGACCAACCTAGGCTGTGAGGCAAATAGCATTTGGGGGCTCTCGTGGCCTAGAGGTTAAGGTGTTGGCCTCTCATTCAAAGGTCCCGGGTTCAATTCCGGGTAGCGACCAAAAAATTTTCTTCTCTAAAATTGTCTCCTTTCACCTCCTTTCCTGCTCTCTAGCAATGTTCTGTTGTCTGCTTTCATTTCCACTTTCTGCCCCCACCCCCTCACCTCCTTTGCCCCCTCCTCTGGGCTCCTGACTCTTTCTGCAGCCTTTCTACTGCTACTCCTTGGCTCCTCCTTACTGCTGTCTTTCTGCCACACCCCTGATCTTCTGGTAGGAAAGATCTACACCTAGCCTTCTCGGACAAGGGCGAAAAATCTCGGAGGGCCCGTGTGCAAGTTGCGCACGTTAAAGATCCCTTGGTGGTCTAAAATCGATAAGAGTAGGCTTCGGCCGCCACCCGGGCAAAATTCAAAATTTCCTACCAACTGAAAATATTAGGAGTGTCCCGCGCGCTCATATGACCTATGCAGTTGCGAGCGCCGTAAAACACTTTACAAAAACCAAAATAGCATTTCAGATAAACACAAACGAAAACAATATTATCATTTGCAACAGCAACAACAGCAACAACAACAACAACAACAACAGCAACAACAACAAAAATAACACCGAAAACCCAAACAAACAACAACCAACAACAAACAGCATCAACGACACAAGCAAACAAACAAACAAACAAACAAACCAATAAAACAAAACGAAAAACAGACAAAAGGCGAGCGAGTAACATT